GAATATGTCATCTATACAGGCTACTACCCATGATGAACCCAAAGACATTAGTTTGAGTGGCTATGAAGCCACTATTGCAGCTGGGCAACTAACCCATTTATTCTATATGTTCTACTGTTTTAAAATTTTCAAGATCTGTAAAAAAGGCCCAATTTGTTCCACTGATGGAATACTAAGAGGTACATTTAATTTCCTCTAGAGTAGTTAATCGGCAGATGTCATGTAGACCTCTAGATTTAGTATTAAAAGAATTGAATTCCTTCCCATGGATTGAAACTCAGAAAAGTGCACACCTGCCTGAAAACATCAATATCAATATGAAAAACCAGAGTAATGTTACATATAAAGATAAAATCAACAGAAAAAATGCCCGAAATGGAAATAAATGTTAACTTGATTGCTAGTTCTTCATTGAAGAAAATGTTTCTAGTGATACATTCATAATTTTCTTTAGCTCCAGTATTTAGGTCAGCTTCCTAAACCAGGCCAGCAATGTTGAAGTTCTCAAATAAAATCATTACTCTGAAATCACCAATATCTAGTCCAACTGCTTAATAAGCACTGCAAACCAGAGACTTATTGATAAAATTTAAAAAGCAAACGCAAATATACTGACCTTTGCTGACATAGCCGAGCCTGCCAGCGTAGAATAGAAATAAAAATGCCACAGAAATGAAATTGCAAAAGTATAAAATGCCCAGCAGGGCTCTGAAACCCCATGATTCTTCTGAACAAAATTGGAAAACAGCAACACAGACAATTCCCAGCTTTCTGTATCAGCATGTACTCAATTCAGTGTTATTTAGGGTCCACCGATCGCTCCTGGTATACAACAGCTTTTCTAGGGGACCAAGTTGCTTTCAGAGAAAGATTATAACAGCAATAGTTAAAGCATTCAAAATACCTTTTTAAAGTGGTGTTTGTACCAAGACAGAATCTTATTGTCTATCCCCAGTAGATTAGCAGTTCCGTGAGGGCAGAGATGTGTCTATTTTGCTCTTCATTTGTACATTCAATGCTGTACCCCATGTCTGGCACAGAGTACATCTTTTAGGCATGTCTGTTGCATGCATGCATGAATATTGTCAGCCATGTTGGAAGAGGTGAGTTGCATGGAGCACGACAGATTTTCTGAAAGTAAATCTAACTTCTTTTCAAAATTCCAGAATGAGACATGACTTACCAGAATGTTGCACAATACAGGTGGAAATGAGACACGTTATTGCAAAAACCAAAAGTACTGTTAATGAAATGTGTAAACATTTAATGCCGAAAGGTCACTGTGTGAAAAAGATTTCACCAGTGTCACTGAGATTATGCCAATATTTACTGGAGCCACGTCAAAGTCCAGATTGCCCGCTTTACAACCACGTGGCACATTAAAGAATACAGGATGCCATTTACAATTCGTTCAAGATACAATTTAATTATATGAATCAACGTCTGCTCAACTGGAATGAAAAACAATTTTATTAAGCAGTACTCCATGGAATAGAAATCAATTTGTAATAATCACACTGCAAATTAACTTCAGTATTTGCTTTTTTTTTTTTGGAAGATGAGAAAATGATTAGCATATTTGCCTGGTAATCTTATAAACAGTATATGTTCTCTTCGGATAAATAAAATTTTTAAATCAGAGATATATTTCGAGTCTTCCACCTGGAAGACACATGGCACAACAGCTCCCTCTGCAGGTAGGTTTTGTAAGAGCAGTGTTACCTTTTTATATATTTCATTCTGAATTTTCTCAATGCCTCCTTTTGGGCTTCCTCCTTGATTCTGTCATGCCCAAAGCTGAATGTTCTCATAAAAATGGCTTCAAAACCATTTTAAATCCTATATAGTCAATCTAGTTTTCCGTTTCCCTCTAATAATTTTGTATTCTAGCGAAAGCACTACATAAAACCTGTGGATTCCAATGTACTTTGGTGCAAACACAAGTAGTTGATTTCATTAAAGCTATTTAACAAGGGATAGATAATCTATAGTGGTCATTTACACTACATTCACATATACTCACACATTCCTGTAACACTCTGAATAAAAACTACTTTTTTGCTGAAGTGAGAAATCCCACTCTGACAGGTCAGAAACAAATTCTTTTTGAAAAGGTTTATCAGAGGCTCCCTTTGCATACAGGCTCCCACTGTGAATGTTATTGAGTAGCCATGATGAAAAGTATTAACAAAAATAATCTCTGCAATTTTACAGGGAGATTGTATTAACAAAGTTAGCGCCTCTGCATTAAACAGAGAAAGAGCTATTTTTTGTAAGCATAGCTTTGGGGTAAAAAGGTTCCATATAATTTCTTACTACTTCTAAAAGGGATTATTTTGTAATAATCCCTTGATTTTAGTCAACAAGAGGATACGATCTCGTACTAAAATCAGGAATCTGTCATATAGATGGTTATTTAAGCTCCATTTGAATATTTCCAGTAACAAACCACACTCACTTCTCCAAGAGGCTGTGCGCCATTTCAGCTAGCATTTAGCGGTGGCTACAGTCAAGGTCTGCCACTGAACCAGTCTCCTGCCAGTCCCTTCTCCCAGCTCTGCCTTCAGAGCAGCCTAAAACCACTCTGCAGGCATCAGGAGGTTCCAGGAGGACAGCTGTGCCTTCAGTTCTTCCCTGTATAGCCTGCTCTCCAGTCCCACAGAATACCATCAATGATTAATGGACATTTTCTGCCTTATTTTGACCTTTTGAAACTGTGACAATATCCAACTTTGTAAACCAGTCAATAAATTCCGGGAAGTGTGCTAGAGTTAAAGGTTCTCAGATACAAGCAGCTTTCTGTAGTCCACTGACTATTAGTGTTACCAATCCTACTCTGTTTGTCCTAGTTTCCAAACTAAGAGGTTTTGAACATGTGGGTTCTTCAGTGTTATTTTTATGGTATTTTAGTTGGTCCCTTATTACAAAGTGCTGCTTAAGGATGTCTTTGTCCTTAGTTCTGACTCTTCTTATCTCAGTACTATACTTTGAGTCATTCACCTGAAAGATACAAGGTGCAACAGATTCCTCTACAGGTAGTTTGCACCAGTAAATCTAATAAATCCTACAGAGAATCATTTTTAGGAGGAGGAGGAGGAGGAGAAAAAGGAGAAGGAGAAGGAGGGATCTTCTCTAGCCTGTATCCAATCACATTCATTCTAAACCATAAAACAAAAATTTCTACCCTCACAGACTGTAACTGTTAGGGAGGTGAGGACATCTGAGTGATGAAGGCATGACAGCAATTGCCATCACCTGAGATAAGTCACTAAAAGTTAAAAGCACTTAGAACAGAATCTGAGTCATTTATATACTTTTTAATATTTTTTTAAAGAAAAAGCACCATAGAGTGTTGGAAAATATCCTAGACTTACTTGCATAATGACATAGGGAAGAACACTGACTACCTCCCATGCCCCCTCCCACACACACACACACACACACACACACACACACACTGAGTATGAAATAGGTGTGTTGAACAAGTGAGTCTCACAAACAATAGAAAACTCATCTCCTCCTGACCTGAGCAATCTAGCTCTTCCCAGTCTTTTGAGTGGACTAAAGAATAAGTTCCATGATTTTTCTGTTCACTCTCAAATAAAATGTCTTCTGGTCTCTTTGAACCTCAAAATAACTACCTCATAATAGTGGTGGGAATATCTGTTTGTGTTTAATAGTTAAAAATGTGCAACTTTGCTTAAAGGTGAAGCTATTCCACAAGATCAGGCCCCGGTCAGTCCCATTGCCTGTGGTGCCAAAGAGGGGCAGGTACACGTTCCTCCCACTCTCTAGGCTGCTTTTGGTTCCTCAAACACAGGGAAGGAAGAAGCCAGCAGAAGAGGTAAGAGCAGGAAAAAGTAACACTAGCTCACTGGGCAGCTTAGTGAGCTAGTGCTGTTTCCTCTGGTTATGGGAGACGTTCAATGTCAACATTTTCTTTGTGGCTTCTCTGGAGATCTTTCTCATCATCCTTGGAGATCTCTCACATCCAGCTAACACCTCAAAACTTACCTTCGGACCTCTGATTTCAAACTGCCTGGCTCTGCACAGAGGTATCCCACAGCTGGTGGCCCATTGTCCTCTAGTCAGCCCTTTGGGGAAGGGAGGGAAGAGAGGGGCAACACAATTCCAGGCAAACGCGCTGTCCTGTTTCATCCATATCGGGTCCACAAGCCTCAGCAAAGCTTCCCACTCACAACCCTCTCCTTTGTTGCTCCAGGCCACTGAATCAGCCCCCAACCCTTTAGCTTTCTCTAGTCTGAATCAGACACCTGTCCATTGTACCCCACGCTCCAAGGGTCACCTATCAAGGTCTCTGATTGTTCTTCTTGAAGCCCCTTTTACTACACTTGAAATGAGGAGAAGCACACCCCTCCACTCCCCAACCCCACCACACTGACAACTTTATCCAAAAAAAACATTCTACCTAATTTTCATCTTTTGCCCCAGCGGAATTCCTAGGTTTCTGTTATACAGTCTGGAGGTGGGTAATAGAGCAGTTCTCACACATTCCTTTTCAAGGTCCTGCATCAGTGGGGTAGCTCTTCACTTAGGAATATAGACACTCTCTGCTTTTATTTTTACTTTTTTTGTCCTCTTTCCCCCTCCCCCCCTTTGAGAGCTTAGGTAAAACAAAGATAAAGAAGAGAGGAACAAAATGTCCCATTTTAGCATTATTACAAAGATGGGACCTAAGAGAATGACTGACACATCACTAGGCTCTGATAATCATTTGGCTTACTTACTTTCAGTATTAGGTCACTTTTTTCTGCTGTCCGTTAAAATTTATAGCATGCCATAAAATTCTGATCTCTTTTTATAAAACAGCTAGAAAGGCACCAAAAAATGGGATTGCTTATAGAAAAATGCTAGTTTCACCACAGATAAGTCACATAAAGGATCCCATTATACATATGCATTTAATGAAACATTAATTAAAAGGGAATAGAAACAAAATGTTTTTTTGTTTTCGTTTTGTTTGTTTTTTTGGTTCCTAGGCCGAGAATATGAGAAGGATAAAGTCTGCAAGGAATTAAACAATTTTGGAAAAGATGACTTCACATCTTTGTAAGTATGAAGCACTCACTCACCCCCTAGGTTACTTGACCTTGAATGAAACCGCATGTAAGGTTAACTTCAACTCAGCATGAAGGGCTGAACTGATTTCTGATAAGATGAACAGGATAGAGCCCAGGGTCAAAGGAGGCAGAGAAGGCAGGCAAATGGAGGACATCCAAAGATTCCAGTTGAACTACCATTGCTGTGGTCTAAATATTTATTAAGCAATAGTTTTCTAAGGTAAATTAAAATGCAAACAGTACATGCTAGGACTGGCAAACAAAGGCAACAGGGTACAGAGCAGCTTCATTGAGAGAAGAGCAAACATGAGGCTGTTTTGATAGAACTCTCAAGTTCAACTCCTGCCACTTTACAAGATCGGTTTACCTAGAACAAAACTGAAAGGCAACCTTATACTCTTTTCATTCATCAAGAAAATACGTGCACTATTCCTTTAAAAAAACTGAAAAGAATATTTTAATATGTGCAAATGTGGGAAACATTAATTCGAATTAAGTATGGGTTTACTTTTCCCCTCAGATCAATGGTCCTCTACAGCAGAAAATTTCCCAGTGGAACTTTTGAACAGATCAGTCATCTTGTGAAGGAAGTTGTCTCCCTGACAGAAGCCTGCTGTGCTGAAGGGGCTGACCCTGACTGCTATGACAACAGGGTAGGTTTGCGTGGCCTGGCCGGGTCTGTGGTGGCCCACAGAAGGAAGCCAAGACAGGTCTTTATGCCATATCTTAGGGAAATCCTAGACAGCGACTCCACCTACTCCAATTTTGGAGGCAATATGAAGCCTGTTCCTCTAGAGCTCAGATTTATTCTAGCAAAACAAATCAACTCTGCCCATTAGTCCTACAGGTTCAAATGAGAAAACTGAGGCATATACTGATTCAGGAAACAGTTCTAATAGATTTTGTGTATCCTGAAATCTACACATACCTTTACCATGCAAAGCCTGGTACTGACTGACCCAGAGCAATTTAGTGTTGGCCTCAAATTAATTTGGTGTTCAGAAGTTGCCCTGTACACATAAACCACCAGGTTTGGGGATTTCTCCCCTGAAGTATACATGCAGAAATTATAATGCTGAAATGACAGGGTTCAAAATACAAACCGAACAAAAGTGAACCCACATGTGTTTCTAGCAATTTACTAATGTAGTCATCAGGCCCAACGCAGACGGCATTTGAATGTATCTTGATAAAGGCCTCTACAGGCAAATGTCTCCCTGTGTAAGCCTGCAGCAATTAGCGGGCGGAAACAATGTTCCAAGGATCATTGGACTAGAGTCTACACAATGATTATTCTTATCATTAATTTCCTTATCTGGCCCTTATCTACTTTCTAAGAATTTCATAATCATTTTCTCCTATCACTAAGTCCATAAACCGAAATTTCAACCTGACCTTCTGAACCACCTTAAAATAGGCAAGCATCAAACTACTGACCATGATTAGAACAACAAAAAACATTTTTATTTGCTAATTTGAGAGAAGCTGCTGAATTATAAAGACATCATAAAAGAGCAGAGATGGCACTGACATTTTTGCACACCACCTTCCTCTTTCTCCTGCTTATTCAAAGTATTTTTTTTAATGTGTTGATGCTTTTTCTTTTTAAAAGTCTTATTTGAAAGGAGGTAATAAAAAGAAACCATGGGAAAGTTGACAAGCAAAAAAATGGAATGGAAGAAGATATTCACTGAAGAGAGAGAGAGAGACGAATTAAAAAAAGAGTTCTTAAGTTCTGAGAGTCTGATGGAAGTTAGATGTGGGAGAGGATGAGAGATGGTCACTTCTACATAAGTGATTCATCATGTTGCTTGCCTTCATTGATAGGAAACATCTTTAGGTATTTTCCCTTGAAAAGATGACTAATGTGTAAAATAAGTATAGGGATTTGAAAGTACTTTTTCCCAAGTAAATCCAAAAATAATTTTTTCCATGATAACTATATCTGCTCTACATTTTCATTTCAAATTCTTTCCAAAAAGATCATTTTTGTGGCTATAATTGCTTCAGCGGTCCTCTCATCATGGGCTTAGTCTGCACACCTGTTATCAGTGTATATGTGTTGAAGCAGTGGATTAAGTTGTACCAGTGATTTTTTTTAAGCAAATCTTTTTTTT